GGCAACACAGGAAATGGACATCAACACAGACCCCAGCTACTTCAGGACCAGGGACCCAGACATGGCCAGTAGCAGCAACTTGGTCCCAAATATCACCATGACCCCAGGTGGCAGTTCTGGCATCTCAGATTGTCATGGGTCCTGCAGCAGTGCGATCCCAAGACTCCAACATGGTCTCAGTTGTACAACCCAGATGACAACAGGAGCCATGGATCTCAACACAGACCCATTGCCACAGCTCAGGCCTACAAATCAACATCGATCCAGGTGCAGTACAGGCCATCCAGATCTGTATGGTCTTGGCAGCAGTGTGATTCTCTAGCACCAGCATAGCCTCAGGTGTTGGCCCAGACACTGGACATCTACACTGCTTTTGGTGGTAACCAGAGGCAAGAACATCAATGTAGACCCTGGCTGTGGTTGGGCCACAGACCCAGACATGATCCTTGGCAACAACAGCTCAGCCCAGATGACTTCACTCATATTGAGATAGCTCCTGAAGTGGCATGGCCTTCAAGCACCAACATGGCCAAATATAGCAGACCCAGATCCTGGGCATCGTCACAGCCTTTGTTGGTAACAGGAACCATGGACATCAACACAGACCACGGAACACAGCTTCAAGAGGGCCATGGACCCAGACATGGCCCTTGAAAACATCCCAGGACATCACCATGGCCCCAGATGACAAAAAGGTCACCCAGACCAGCTCATTCCTCACCACCTTCACCTCTTCAGATCTGCCTCTTTCTATACTCCATGAACTTCTCTGCCTCTCCCTCCCTCCCACACCTACCATACATTTGCCTGACTTCCTGGTGCTGCAAGGAGGGGTGCTGCAAGCTCCCCCTACCCCTACATCCTCTAGCACTCTTGGCCAGTGTGTTTGTGTGCTTGCTTGCATGCGTGTGTGCCTGTGTGTGTGTGTGTGTGTGTGTGTGTGTGTGTCCATCTCTGCTGTAGGATTAGTTTTAAGTTACATTTCTGACCCCTTTCTCTGGTGACTGAGAATGTCAAAATTAAAGTTCATTGTAGTCAGTCATGCATATTTATTATACATGGAACATACAACTTTTTATATTCCTTTTTTTTCTTTTCAGATTTTTTACAATTTAAATAAGAAACAAGCTTTTGTTTTTTACATGTCAATCTCACTTCCCTCTCCCTCCCTTCCTCCCCTGCCCCCCCCACCAACTCCCTATCACATCCCCTTTCTGTTCCTCAGGGAGGGTGAGGCCTTAAATGGGGGATCTTCCCATTCCACACAGAGAGATACTCTCTCAGCCTAGACACATGGTGGAGGACCTAAGCCCTGCTCCAAATTATATAACTTTTTCTATTTCTTATGTACAGACTTGCTCTGTGAGCAACTCTCAACAACACTACATCTGCCTCATGTCTTTCAGTACAGCCTAGGAGTCCAGGGTCTATTTTTCTCCACCCTTCTTTCAATAACCCGGGACTACCTGCTTTCTTTCTTACAATGCACAGAAGCATCCCTATACAGGATATATGCAGGGACAAAAGAGGAAAATTGGGAGGGGACTTTGATTGTGGAAGCAGAGAAGTCAATAAGGGAGCAGGGGAAGGAAGAGGAAGAAACAACACTAAGAATGTCTTAAAGGACCTCAAGGAATCATATTATTTTCTTTTTTTGCATATTTTTTATTTGAGTTAGAAACAAGATTGTTTTGCATGTTAATCCCAGTTAACTCTCCCTCCCCTCCTCCCCTACCATGGCCTCCCCAACTAAAACCCTACCTATCACATATCCTTTCTGCTCCCCAGGGAGGGTGAGGCCTTCCATAGGGGGTCATCAGAGTCTATCATAGCCTTTGGGATAGGGCCTAGGCCCACCCCCATGTGTCTTGGCTCAGGGAGTATCCCTCTATGTGGAATGGGCTCCCAAACCCACACCTATGCTAGGGATAAGTACTGATCTACTACAGGAGGTCCCATAGATTTCCGAGGTCTCCTCACTGAAATGCATGTTCCTGGGGTCTGGATCAGTCCCATGCTGATATTCCAGCTATCAGTCTGGGGACCAGGAGCTCCCCGTTGTTCAGGTCAGCTGTTTCTGTGGGTTCCACCAGCCTGGTCTGGACCCCTTTGCTCATCACTTGTCCTTCTCTGCAACTGGATTCCAGTTCAGTTCAGTGATTATTTGTGTGTGTCTGCTTCTACTTCCACCAGCTGCTGGATGAAGGCTATAGGATGGCAAATAAGTTAGTCATCAATCTCATTATCAGGGGAGGGCATTTAAGGTAGCCTCTCCTCTGTTGCTTAAATTGCTAGTTGGTGTCATCTTTGTTCACCTCCAGACATTTCCCTAGTGCCTGATTTCTCTTTAAACCTAAAATGTCTCCCTTTTTATGGTATCTCCTTTCTTGTTTTCTTCTATTCTTCTCCCGACTCAACATTTATGCTCCCTCATTTCCTCTTCACCCCTCCTCTTCTCCCCTTCTCATTCTTCTATTTACATAAAATTACACATAATACATGTACTTGTATGTATACACTCATATGTATGTAAGTGAGCTTATACCACTTGGGCTGACAATACTCCCCCACAGCCATAGAAGAGAAAACAATTGTAGTAGAGTTTTGGTCAGCATAGTCCCAGAGGTTCTTCAAACAATACAGGCTACTGTTGCTACCCTTTATTGCCTTTCAGAGATAGAATGTAAGTCTCTGTTGTTTAAGATACCACACAGCTCTGACACAGGACTCAAGATTTTGGCTGGTTCCGAACTGAAACTACCTTCCTGAGGTCTAGTTTTCACTATCCAGAAGTTGCTATGCAAGCTGCCATGTGAGAGAAACAAGCATATCAATGACCAGCATGGCAAAGTATCATTGAAAGGTACAATAATGACACTCGTATCTTGGTAGCATACAACAAGTATGTAATTGGACTAATATTATGTCTGTTGAAGAGCAGGGTAATTTAAGTCCTTGAAAGTACATAGGTAATATAAAATAACTAGCCTTGTTGGCATGTTCAAAGTGTAGCGTGATGATGTGGGTAATGCCTGTCATTCTTGGACAGAAGAAAACTTTGGCCTGGTGGCTCTTTTGACCAGTAGAAGGCAAAGTTTGCAGGTTTTTCACTCCTGAACTGTATCTACGAACTTTTGAGGACAACAGCTATGGTTGGAATGACTACACAATTAAGTGTGTCATATTCTGAAGCCCATTTCAAATGTTCCCCTGCCATTTGGGGGTTGAAGACATTAGAAATTGTCAGAATCCTCCCAACTGCATTGTGGAAGCTTTATTGTTGATGGGAATCTTGAGTTTTTGGTTTACTTGTGCGATGTCTCAGCCCATGGGTCTGAGAGTCCATGGTAGGCCTTTACTAGTCCTTTCAATTCTTTATCCACAGACTAAGGAAGTAGCAATGGACAGCAGAAGACATCATCAGGCAAATGCATACCAGAGCTCTGCATGCTTCTTTGTTTTCATTTTCGGTTTGTGAACCATGGCAGCTATTTTATTCCTATAACTTCCTTAGTACATGATCTTTGATTAATGAGGAGATGAAGAGATTTCACACCTGTGCTATCAAGTATCCCTGCCAAACTAGAGGGCCATTTCTGATGGCTGTTCTTTCTTTCTGCCTGTTTTTGTTGACTGCTCATACTGGCCTGAAACAGTTTGCAATTTCAACTGTATTGACATATATTTCCAGACAATACACATATCAGAGTGCTTTATTAGTATATGCTAGGGCTTACTATCAAATTCCCAGTTCAATTCCCAGTACTGTGATGCAAAATAGAAGTGCTTTGGAATTTGGATGTACTTTATGTCCCATAGTTTTCATTGAATCAAGGCTGTGAAGTTCAGTGGCGTAGACCCCTGCTAGCTCCCTAGCCTGCATTAGTCTCTAAGACCTTTCCAGTGGCATGGGTTCTTCTCTGCCCAGTGTGCAGTTCATTGCCTGAAGAAATGAAGGGTCATCTGGGCCTTCTTGAAAAAGTGTCAAATAGGGTAGTTCACACATAATAAGTCCATCCAAAATTTTATGTATTGAGAATTTTGGATTTTTTTCTCTTCATTGAGTTAGAGAATTTCATCATCCAACAAATGCCATTTCAAGGTTATTATAGTAGCACAAACACTATAATTCCACTTTACAAGAGTAAAACACCTGTCTTGAGAACAATGTTGTATTCTGTTCTCACTGACCTAGTTTTATTTATTTATCTTTCTCTTTATTTATTTATTTATTTATTTATTTATTTATTTATTTATTTGTTGTTTTTCTAGACAGGGTTTCTCTGTGTAAAGCCCTGGCCAACCTGGAACTCACTTTGTAGACCAGGCTGGCCTCAAACTCACAGAGATCTGCCTGCCTCTGCCTCTCAAGTGCTGGGATTAAAGGCATATGCCACCATTGCCCAGTGGCCTAGTATCTTTTTAAACAACCCTTATGCATAGTTTCCAGATGTTAACTGATGCACATTAGTGAAATCTACAAATGTTTTAATAAATCACTTCTTGGGTCATTGTATTCATTGAAAACCACAAACTGATTCTCTGCCCTTTTATAAGACAAACACCTTGGGAAAAGCTCCAATAAGATTGCCAGGCATTGTAAGAGCTCAGATTCTTCTTCAGCCACCAAAACTTTTCTATTTCAAGTTTCAAGGACAACATTTTTTTCCTGCCAATATCTTTATGTTCAAGTAGCATGGTTACAGAGAGTATGTTCTCAACTTATATACACCATGTAAAACACTAAATTATTTTAAAGCTGTGTTTTAGGGATACAGACTATGTATTGAAGACAACGAGCAGACTTTTATGTCATATATGCATAATATATATGTGATATAAGCTATTAATTATATTATACGTAACTATGTTTCATATAATTATATTACATATAAATTGTAGTATATATGTAATATATTGTTATATAGGATATAATTATATATGAAATACTATATAATACATAATACAATAAAATATTTTATTATACACACACAAACACATATGAGAAATTGTGAGCATTGTCTCCCACTACCACAAGTTATGCAGTTGTATTTCCTGCATCTGAGAAAAATCACAGGGGTAAGCAAAGCTAGAATGCAATGGAGGAGATTCACCGTGGAAAAACCCTTCTTGATCATGGCATCTCTCTGACTCAGAAAGAATGTGTTAATCTATATTTTTGAAGATCCCTTCTTGTGTTAGAAATTTAAAGCCTGGGACATATATACACACTTGATTTTATTAAACTTTTGAGTAATAACAAGAAATAATGGCTCATCTCCAGGTAATTAATATCATCATTACTTCAACAACAGTTAAGTACAGTAGCTATATATTCTCTTACATGGATACTTTCCACACACAGTTCCAGTATTCCCATGAATAACCTAAAATATCATGATTCCCATGCTTGCTGTAGAGCACCACTATGCCAGTTCCTGATGGGTTTATCAGGTGCCTGCATTTTAAGCTTCCATGGATCAGCATCTCCACATAGAAGACAATTTTAGCAAATCTTTTTTTTTTCAGAAATTACTGTAGCTCACAAGTGATAGATAATTAAGTCTAGTGTTTAAAAAAAAGATGGTTTCTTTTATGCCAGAAATCACTTTACACTATGCACTTAAAACCAAAAGAACAAAAAGAGCCAGTGATGTCATCAGGCAATTAATGTAGAGTACAGCCAGTATGCCTATAGTTGGAGTAAAAAGAAAAATTAATATTAGGAAAAGGCAAAGGCTTCATTATGCTCATTTCTTGGAATAATAGAAAGGGTCTGGTACCTAGTGAGAATCACTGCCCAAAACACTGTGAAGCCAATTTCTGAGATGCTCAAAGATTTTGAAACCATGGATCATACAACACACAAGAACTAGGACTGAGGAAGAGACCTTGTCCCTAGTCAATAGAAATCCTGAAAAGTGCTGCCAAAGAAAGGCTCAGAACATAAAAAGAGCAGAGGTCTGCCTCTTCCCGTTGTTCACCTGCCTCAAGTAGCAGCTTCTAAGCAGAAGCTACCAACCAAGGGAACCTGGAAGCTGCCAAAGAGTGGATGCAGATTACTTAATGTTATCCTTCTCAGTTTTCCCCTTGTTGAGGGGCAGTCTGTTCTCAGTTGTCGGGTGTAGAGCATCTGCTTCTCTTTATGATAAATTTGAGTCTTCCAATTGCCACTGTGATTTATCTTTGCCAATTGACATAGTCTAGGATATTTCCAACCAAACTGTTGGAAGTCTTTACACTTTTTAAGAAAATACAATGAAAAATTTGAATTCTTTCCATTTTAATTTAAACTTTAAAATTTTAATTAAAATGAAATTACATCATTTCCTTCATCTTTTTGCTCCCATGTTTGCCTTATTCCTCACAAATTCATGATCTCCTCTCCTTTAACCATTGACATTACATATACATATAAACAAACATTTACATGCAAACTGAGCAGTTCTTTCAGTGTTGCCTTCATGTATGTTTTAGCACTTGATATTGGATAACCAGTCAGGGAGTTCATCCCTAGGAAGCACTAAACTCCCCTCACTGAAATTCTTTGTTGCTTGTAGCTCATCATCTAGGAGTGGAGGAGGGCTTGAGATTTCCTCCATCTATGTTGGAATATCAGATGGTGTTGGCTGTATTCCTGCCTTCTTTAGGTAGCCATATTGTTGAGATATCATGGGTGTGTCTTCCCTGTTGTCACAAAAAGAAACAATCTCACAGGAGACATTCTGGCCCTCTGAAGATTACAGTCTTTCTGGCCTCTTATCCACAATGTTCCTTGAACCTTCGATGGAGGAATTGTGTTGAAGATGTAACAACTGTGGTTGGGTACCCCTCAGTAAGTTGTTACCTGTATTTTGACTAATCATAGTTTCCTGTAATATATTTATACAAAATTATGCTTTATAAATTATATAATTGCATAAATGATTAATGTATAATACAATATATAAGTATATGTATGTACATATATATATATATATATTTAATTCTCTTCAAGAGCCACAGACAATCTAAAACAAAGTCCCCATTCCAGGCATGAGAACCTTCTTTTGACTTGTTAGCAAGAAACTATGGCAGCAGTATAAGCTATTGCGACTACCCTTAGTTGCCTCCTAAAATCCAAGGTAAATTACTATTGCTAAAGACACCACAAAAGTTGGATATAGTGCTAGGAGAAATTGAGCTGGAAATAACCTGAAAACCTTCTCCCAGAGGTCTGTCTTTCTTAGTAGTAGTAGTACTAGAAACAAGTTGTTAAGAGAGAGAAGCAATCAACAACCTTCCTACCTATCATGCTTATGAAACACAACCATGAACAGCCTGGCAAGATATCCCTAAAGGAGCAATAATGATATTTATAACACAGTAGTAAAATACAGCTGTCTAATTGGACTGAAGGGTAACTCAGCAGGAGAGAAATCATCCCTAGTAATGTAAATGGAACTAATAATATACGTGGCTAGTGAGGTCATGGATCTTAGAGGAGAACTTTCTATCACCACTTTCCTAAATGAGTATTAATTCCTAACTGCATTTTGCATATGTATCCTTATATCCACAGACAAGTGTAGCTCTCACTACTCATCAAATAAGCTTCTTTTGCAGCAGGAGACCATTATAGAAAGCCACAACTAGTATTACTATTTTAAATGTATACTCTGTGTTATACTCTGTCCCTCAGAACTATAACTATGTTAGTTTGAGTGTATATCTTTGAATTTAAACTTCACAGTTGCTTTATTATACAATAAAAATAAAACATTGTAGCTTAGAAAATAAAGAGCTGCATTTGTCAATCCTAGAAGCACAGAGTTTAAAAGACCCTTGTTTATCTGGGAAATTATTAAAGAAGGGATTTCCTAAGAAATTTTATATTCCTATTGCAAATTTGTTTAACTCAGTACTAGCTAAATCTGTAAGTGATGATCACAGTGTGCTTTCTTCAGACATAGCATGCTTTTCCACATTTTCATGGATGGTGCTATTCCAATTTTCTGTTTCCTTCCTTCCTTTGAGGATGAGCAAGTGTTTTTCACTTGGCCAGACACAGTTATACTATTTCCACCTTTGCCAATCTTAAGCAAATCTTCCTTCATGTTTCCAGAGTCGTTTGTTCTTACTGGGTGTATCACTTATCACAAGATGTTTTCAATATATATGGGCTCCATAAAGAAAGTGGAGTTTTATGAACTCCTTTACCAAGCAAACATAACCAAATGGGAATCAGCATTGCATCTAGTATTTAATGCTTTCTATTTCCTCCATTAAATTTTGAGTTCACTTCCAGGCAATAAATAAATGTAATTTGTATTTCTATTTCTAGCATCGAGTTTAATGCTGGATACATAGCGTACTTCAATAAATGCCTAATGTATTTTTACTGTCTGTCATTGGAACAATGCCAAAGTCACATTATAATAGTTTGGGTGGTGTGCATATTTCAGGTTTTCCTGTTCATTCTGATCTGACAAGTACCAATTTTCTAACTTTTAAAGCACTTGGAAAATATTTTCTTAAAGTTAATATTTCTTTCTGAGGCTATTTATCCATTTCTTGCCAACATTTGATACCCCGAAGAAGTATGTATTATTCCAATGTTATGAGGAGATATTAGTTTTACCTGATTAGTAACTGTTAGATTGAATTCAATTTTAATTTCACATTCATCATATCAATAATTTATTTAGGAAATATTGCCTAGCTTCCTTGAGAAAATTGGCTTTTCTTGAAGAGGAACTTTCATAGTCTCTGTTTTACTGTAACTCTTGGTTTGGTAAAAATGTTCTCCAGGCTGTCAGTTATTTTTAATTTTTTTCATAAATACTTGTAGATGAATCTAAGCTTGTCAGGACTAGTAATGAAAGTCTATGCAACAGCAACAGTGATTGTAAGAGAAAGGGATTGTAAGACAAAGGGCAGTTATTGTTTTATCTGCCGGGGAGTCCTCCCCCCACCCCCGCACCCCGGGGGAGGGAGAATATCCTCTGAAGCTGTGTATAGGTGGATCTCAATGGTCATTTGTAGTATCCCCTCAGGTGATAGGCAACTACGTTTGCTTACAATATAGTTCCCCTGGGGTTGTTACTTTGTTGATTTCTATGGATTACTGTTCTTCAGAACAAAGGCCTAAAAGAAGAAGAAGAAGAAAAAAAAAAAACAACAACTACAAAGAAAAGAGAAGTATGTTATATACTTAAATATTGAGTGTTAGAGTATTTCATTTTCAGACCAGGAAAGCCAGTATGTTACCATCCTGAACAAATGGGCTTTTTGTCTGGGCAGAGCCTGCTTGCCCTTCTTGTTGACTCCTCCCTGCACACTAATGGGTCTAATGCTAATAGAGTCCAGTTGTGTTTCCCAAACTCATTTCTTTTCTCTGCATCTTGACACTATATCACTTTGAGGCAAGCTGTGACAGGCACATTTTCTAAAAGGATACCCATGTCGGGGAGCAACAGCCAAAGGCTCAGTGCCAGGTTTAGCCATTAGCAGTAGGAGAAAACAATTCCTTGTTTTAGCCTTGATCACGGGAATGCTACCCACTGACATTTGAAATAGCTCTGTCCTGTTAATTAAACAAATTGTTTTGCACATCTGCTAGGTGTTTAAAGGATGTGAGGATAGTATTCTCAGGTCCTTGGTGCTGTTTCAGGAGAAGATTTGCATGTATGCTGTAACTATATCTGAAAAAAAAATAAAGAAAAAGAAAAGGATGAGTTTTCCTCCACAATGGTGTTAATATACTCACTGCACACAAGGATGGCCTAGGGTAAGGGTTTGTAAAGGTTCATTAAAATAACACCCCTTTACAAGATTTTTTTTTTTAAATGGAAATAGGGATATAGGAATGATCTTTTCTTTGTCTCCAGAATACCAAGGTGGCCTGAGATTTCAGAACAATAGATAATGGCAGCAGTAGGAAAAACCAAGATGACTTTCTTCTTTAATCTTCAAGTTACCTTTGCCCCTGAATCCATACTTCAAGGTTTATTTATTTGTTTATTTGTTTCTTTATGCCTGTTTCACTTACCTGCCTTCAAGGTTAAAAATCAGTGTACAAAGTAGACTGGAGGAATGCTTATGAAATCTGTAGATGCAGCTTAGTGTATTGATGTTTAAGTTATATTAAGAAAAAGAAAGACAAATGAAGTGGTCATTGGTGGTCACCTATCTTTGTCATATGCTCAATCACCATATCAAATAAAGCTATTTAAGTTATAGCTCTTTTCTTTTTTGTCCTTTCCAAGTAAGTTTTTGAAGTTTTACTTACACATCACCTCTGATTAAGATTTCATCTAAAGAAATGATTTTTACCACTAAAAGTTATTTTGAAAAGCACTGACATGCGCACACACACACACACACACACACACACACACGCACATATATATTTATGTATGTTATGTTGGACAAAATATGGCAAGACATCCCACAAAATGTCTTTGACTTATGAAAATTAGTTCAAACTTACTGCTTGAATTATTTTTTCCAGGTTAACTGTGCTGTGAGAGGTATTGAGTCCTTTGATAGAGTGCACCCCTCATCATAATCCTTGTGAGTTCTTCAGCTCTGCCTGAATTCATGACCTCACATTATGGTTTACTCATGTTCTCTTAGCCAAAGACCTGCATCGACACTATGTACATACTACCAGTGCATTTGTATGGTGTTTTGTGAGTTGCTGATGTTGTTGCTGCATGCAAGAGTGAGGCATGATGATTACAGACAATGTGTACACATGAGCCATTGTTTTACTGCACCAACATATATCTAATGTGAAGCTGTATTTTCTAGGATTCTCTTGTTTGTATAATTCAAGTTTACAGTGAGCCACGGGAAAATTTTATGCAGGATTTGGTCTATGAATGCGAAATAGAAGTCATTATATTTGAAAGTATAATTGCCAAGCTGCGATCCAGCTCACTGCCTGCTCTTGTAAATAGCTGCACTAGAACACAACCACATTTGTTTATCCATTTTCCTCATACATTGAGAGATTTGAGTGATTTTAAAAGAGATCTCATGTCCTGCAAAGTCTACAGTGTTTTACTATATTGAATTTTATTTTTAAAGTAAGTTTGCTGGCCTCTGTGTTCCAGATTGTTCAAGGGTTATAGTTGGTGCAGCTGGTGGATCTAATTGTTATGAAGTAGCTGGATTATCTCCAGTTTCTGTGAGTCTCAAGCCAGGCATGTACAAGATTTTACAGCAGTCTGTACCAGCTTTATCTGCAAGCCATCTGTATTCTGAGGTTAGGAGTAGTGAGAGGTAGAGAGGATTTACATTTTTTTCTTGTGAGTGACAATTTGTTTACATATGTTCTAGCTTGTCTACCTGACTTCCCTATTCTGTTCACTTTTTCCTTTTGACTGCTTTCCTGTTTTTGAATTCAATGACTTCCCATCCACCTTAAATAACAACGCAACATTTTCCTTAAATATTTTCCCTCTGAGTTTCTAGGTCTCTGGTTGACCACTTTTCTGTGAGCATCTAATCATCTCCTCCCTGAAATCTTTCTCTGGAAGCAACAACTAATATATTATTTTCTATGATTGAATCCATATAAGTCTCAGGTCCAATCGATTATCCTACTGGGTTTTGAAAATAAAATCACTTTCTTATTCTTTGAAATAATGTCTCTCCATTTACTTCTTCATCCTCCTCCCAGCTGTTATTCCATACCTCTCTATAAGCAGCCATCTCTCCCTTTGTTGTGTCTAGTCTTTCTCTAGCTTTGTTTCAGTACATGGTTGAGCTTTGGATACCAAGGCTGACCTTTTACAAGTCCCCTAAGTTTGGCACTTTTGTTTATATCCTACCTTTTCACCTTTGACTTACTTTTCTCTTAAGACAATCTCATGTTGCCATTTTTCATCTTGCTCAGACTCCTCCAAGAGCTCTTCCTTCAGACTATATTTTCTTTAATATATTTTCAATCTTCTTATCAATATAGCCTCCATTCATCCAGGCTTCATTAGTACAATCAAGCTTTCCAGGAAAATGCAGGGATATCCTGCATGTTTCCTAGTGCATGGTGACTTCTTTGATCTCTGTTTCCTATGTTGTCTCCTATTGAGTTGTTGTCTCCTATCACCCACCTGCACTTGTAATATTTACCACACCTTATTTCTGGAAATGTCCCCTTTCATTTCCTTATTCTACTGTCTTTTCATCCAGTACTCATTTCTTTGGCCATTCTACTTTGTTAGCCCTTCTCTCTGATCTAGTATCTTCTCATTGAGCTTTACTCTTGTCTTCTCTTCTCATAGTGTATCTCTCTATAATTTCCTAAATGTTGTAATGGAAAAACTTGACCCTCTCACTCATGTCTGTGTCAGAGGCTTCTTCTCTGAGCAGTCCTAAGGTCCAACTGTTTAATATAGTCCCTTGAATATTTTTATTTAAAATAGATTCTTTTCTCATACAATATATTCCAACTAGTTTCCCTGACCTTCAGATACCCTAGTTTCTCTCCAACTCCACAACTCTGCATTCCTCCAAATTTACTTCCCCTTTGTTTCCTCTTCAGAAAAGAACAGGCCTCCTAGATATGACAGCCAAAAGGACAAAACAATATGCAATATGACAAGGTAAAAGTCTATATATCTAGGCTGGACAATGCAACCTAATAGGAGGAAAAGTCTCAAGAGAAGGCAAAAGAGTCAGAGACATACCCACTCCCACCTTTAGGGGTCTCACAAAACACCTCCCCCCTGCCCATGAATTCTGTGGATTCCACAGAACATCTACCTTCCCATGCCCTACCCTTCCTGCCTGATTGCTGTGTTTCCACTACCAACTCAAGCAGACAGTCCTTGATCAACCACAGGCCACACACGCCTGAAGGCCAGATAGGCTGCCAGTAAACCTTACCCACTCTCTATTTTAGCAGAGCCAGTTCTTAGTGTAGCAACAGAACACCAGATGCAGTGTCCCCTCCCGGTTCTTCATGCCTCCTGTGGATCCCATAGGCCATCACTCTCAGCCATTCCCTTCCAGCCTTTTCATTGTGACCCAGTCCCAACTGCAGTGGATAGTCCCTGCTCAACCACAGGCCACACCTGACAAAAGATTCTCCTCAAACATCAGCAAGCATTCTCCATTGAACATACCAGTGGAGTAAAAACAGGGAACCTTCAGCCAACACACTCTTTGAAAATCCAGAGAGGAAACAGAAACCAAGGAACAAAACTGCAAACCAACCAAGAAAAACCTAGAAATCATCAACTAGACCTATAATCACTCCAATCCTACTTGCCTAGACACCAATGTCATAATAAATCAATAATTGCCAGGTCAATATGTCTCCAATAGAGTCCAGCTCTCTTACCACAACAGGTTCTGAATATTATAATATAGCTGAAGCACAAGAAGACCTTAAAAGCAACTATGTGAAGATGATGGAGATCCGTAAAGAGAAAAATGACAAATCTCTTAAACAAATTCAAGAAAACACAGACATATATTTGCAGGAAATGAATAAATCACTTCAACAAAAAAAATCAAGAAACAAACAATCAAAGAAAGCACATAAAACCTTTCAAGATGTGAAAATGAAAATTGAAGCAATAAAACATACACACAAACTGAAGGACTTCTGGAAATAAAAAAAAATCTTAATTTAAACAGGTACTATAGTGTCAAGATTCACAAAAATATACAAGAGATGGAAGAAAAATCTCAAGTGTTGAAGATACTATGGAAGAAATGGATACATTAATTAAAGAAAATTTTAAGTAATAAAAAAAAATCCCCATCCCCGACACAAAATATCCAGTAAATCTGGGACAAACATATGAATAATAGATATAGAGAATGTAGAAGAACACTTGCTCAAAGGCCAAGAAACTATTTTGAAAAAAATCATAGAAAAATTTTCCTAATCTAAAGAAGGAGATGCCTATAACGATATAAGAGGCATACAGAAAAAACAAAAACAAAAACAAAACAAAACAAAACAAAAAAAAAACAAAGCAAAAACATATGGAATACCAAGTAGCTTGGACCAGAAACAAAAGTCCCCTCACCACATAATAATCAAAACACTAACATACAGAAGAAAAAATATTAAAAGCTGAAAAGGAAAAAGACCAAGTAACATATAAAGGCAGACTTGTTAGAATCACATGACTTTTTAATGGACTCTAGATGCCAAAAGGGCCTGGACAGATGTGTTGCAGACACTGAGAGAGCACAGATGTAGATATATTCCATATGAAAGTCATATTTAAACAATATCTATCACAAATCCAGCCCTACAGAAGGTGCTAGAAGAAAAAGATTCAAACCAAGGAGGTTAACTACACACATGAAAGCAAAGGAAATAAATAATTTCACATTAGCAAAACTAAAAGAATGGAAGCACCTCCCCCCAACACACACACACCATACCACCACCACCACCACCAACAACAACAACAAAAACAACAACAGCAACAAAATAGCAAAATAACAGGAATTACCAATCATTGTTCATGGATATCTCTCAATACAAATGGCCTCAATTCCACAGTAAAAAGACACATTAGCAATATGGACACAATTTAAATATTTGGTATTTTAGTGACTAGCTTTTTTATTTTTTTTAATCCAGCAAATGATTTATTGGTTAAATTATCAATCATGGAGCTCAATAACAAAATAAATGGATAATTCACTGGAAACCGGCTTGAAAGTACTGACTTTAATTAATCTGGCAACAAAAATTGAGTTAACAAATGTCTAACAATTAGCTCTTATAACTGCTAGACAGTGAGATCAGCTATCCAAATCCATGTCTTGTTTTCTCTTAACAACAGGTGGTAGAACTCCCAGGAGACAGGTGAGTGAATTCTAATAAAGGTTGTATTTGTTAACCTAGCACCATAGTTCCAGTCTCAGGACTCATAAGTAGCTGGACGGAAGTTACAGGAGGAAGGGCAGCTGCTAGAACGTAAGGTAAACCTTTGACTTCTGGCCCTATGTTGGCTTTGAGGCAGCAGGCAGGGTGTGAGGCTGAAGAGAAACACAGCTTTGGATTGCGGCTATGAAGGAGGCAGGCCCCTCTGGAGGGAACTGGTGAGTCCAGAGAGCAGCCCTGGGTAGGCATCAGGAACTAGGAGATTTCTTCTTGGCTTCCAGGTCCTTTTTCATCTCATCAAGCTTTTTAGTCAGGTTTGGCATGTCATAGTTCTGAGCCAGATACGTTCCCATCATGTTGCCCAAAGTAAATCCAAGCACGAACTGGAGCATGATGTCGGTGGGGAGGTCAACGAGGGTGTGAACGCCCTCAGCTCCAGCTCTGCTCCCCGTAACTAGCTTTTTGACTTCTTTGTATATTTTGGAAATCAGCCCTCTGTCTTATGTGGGCTTGGTGAATATCTTTTCCCATTCTGTGTGCTGCCATTTTGTCTTGTTGACTGTGTCCTTTGCCTTACAGAAGATTCTCAGTTTCAGGAGGTCCCATTTATTAATTGTCGATCTCAGTGTCTGTGCTACTGGTGTTATATTCAGGAAGCAGTATCCTGTGCCGGGTTGTTCAAGGGTACCTCCCACTTTCTCTTCTAAGAGGTTCAGTGTGGCTGGATTTATGTTGAGGTCTTTGATCCATTTGGACTTAATTTTTGTGCAAGACGATAGATATGGATCAATCTGCAATCTTCCAAATGTCAGCTTCCGGTTATACCAGTACCATTTGTTGAAAATGCTTTCTTTTTTTTCCATTGTGTAAGTTTAGCTTTGTCAAAAATCAGGTGTTCATAGGTGTGTGGATTAATATCAGGGTTTTCTATTCAATTCTGTTGGAATACCTGTCGTTTTTGCGCCAATACTAAGCTGTTTTCAGGACTATGGCTCTATAATAGAGCTTGAAGTCAGGGATGGTGATGCTTCCTGAAGTTCCTTTATTGCACAGGGTTGTTTTGACTATCCTGGGTTTTTTATTTTTCCATATAAAGTTGAGTATTGTTCTTTCAAGGTCTGTGAAGAATTGTGATTTTATTGTTTTCTCTTTCTTTCTTTTTTATTTAAATTAGAAACAAGCTTGTTTTACATGTCAATCCCAGTCTCCTCTCCCTCCCCTCCTTCCCTAACCCCCACCAACTCCCTATCCCATTCCCTTTCAACTGAGGCCTTCCTTGGGGGATCTTCAAAGTCTGTCCTATCATTCCGAGCAGGGCCTAGACCTTCCCGTTTGTGTCTAGGCTGAAAGAGTATTCATCTATGTGGAAGAGCTCCCAAAGTCCATTCGTGTACTAGGGATAAATACTGATCAACTACCGGAGGCCTCATAGATTGCCCAGACCTCCAACCCAACATCCATGTTCAGGGGGGCTGGGTCAGTCCTATCCTGGCTTCCCATCTATCAATCTGGGGTCCATGAGTTCCCCCTTGTTTAGGTCAGCTGTTTCTCTGGGTCTCACCACCCTGTTCTTGACCCCTATGCTCATCACTTCTCCCTCTCTGCAACTGGATTCCAGAAATTCATATCAGTGCTTATCTGTGTCTGCTTCTGCTTCTATCAGCTACTGAATGAAGGCTCTAGGATGCCATATAAAGGGATTGAATTGTATCTGTAGATTGCTTTTGGTAAGATTGTCATATATATATATATATATATATATATATATATATATATATTTGCTTTGGAGACCAGGCTGGCCTTGACCTCACAGAGATCCGCCTGCCTCTGCCTCCTGAGTGCTGGAATTAAAGGCATGCACCACTAATGCCCACCACTAATGCCGGGTTTTTCTCTGATTTCTTTCTTAGCCTATTATTATGGTCTATATCCAGCAGGGATATTGGGTTTTTTGTTGTTGTTGTTGTTGTTATTGTTGTTAATCTTGTTTCCTGCCACTTTACTGAAGGTGATTATCAGCTGTAGGAGGTCCCTGGTAGAATTTTTTTTAGGTCACTTATGTAAACTATCATATCATCTGCAAATAGTGAAAGTTTGACTTCTTGTTTTCCAAGTTGTATCCCCTTGATCTCCATTTGTTGTCTTATTGCTCTAGCTAGAACTTCAAGTACAATATTGATGAGACATGGAGAGAGTAGACAACCTTGTCTTGTTCATAATTTTAGAGGAATTGCATTGAGTTTCTCTCCATTTAATTTGATGTTTGCTGTTGGCTTGCTGTATGTTGCCTTTATCATGTTTAGGTATGTTCCTGTCATTCCTGATCTCTCCAAGACCTTTATCATGAAGCCTTTTGTTGAAGGCTTTTTTCAGCACCTAGTGAGATGATCATGTTTTTTTGTTTGTTGCAATTTGTTAATATGTTGGATTACATTGATAGATTTTCATATGTTGAATCATCCCTGCATCCCTGGGATGAAGCATACTTGATCATGGTGGACGATTATACTGATGTGTTTTTGGATTCAATTTGCCAGCATTTTATTGAGTATTTTTGCATCAGTGTTCATGAGGGATATTGGTCTGTAGTTCTTTCTTTTTTTCTGGGTTTTTCAAAGCAGTGTTTCTCTGTGGCTTTTGAGGCTATGTTGGTACTAGCTCTTGTAGACCAGGTTGGTCTCCAACTCACAGAGATCAGCCTGCCTCTGCCTCCCGAGTGCTGGGATTAAAGGCGTGTACCACAACCGCCTGGCTGTAGTTCTCTTTCTTAGTTATATATTTGTAGGGTTTGGGTTCCAAGATAATTGAAGCCTCATAAAAATTGTTTGCCAATTACCTTTCTGCTTCTATAGAATGGAATAATTTACAGAGTATTGGTATTAGCTCTACTTTGAATTTCTGGTAGAATTCTGCACTGAAACCATCTGGTCCTGGCCTTTTTTTTGGTTTGGAGGCTTTTGATGACTGCTTCTATTTCAAGGGGTACAGAACTTAATAGAGAATTCTTAATAGAAGAATCTAAAATGGCTGAAAAACACAAAAGAAATTACTCAAAATCCTTAGCAATCAGCAAAATACAAATCAAAGCACCTCTGAGATACCATTTTACACCTGTCAGAATGGCTAAAATCAAAACCACCAATGACAGTTTATGCTGGAGAGGATGTGGAGAAAGGTGAACACTCCTCCATTGCTGCTGGGAATGCAAACTTGTATAGCCTCTTTGGAAACTGGGAACCAGTCTACCTCAAGATCTAGCCATTCCACTCTTAGGCACATACATAAAGGATGCACATTCATACAAGAAAATTTCTTCAACTGTGTTCATAGCAGCATTATTTGTAATAGCCAGAACCTGGAAGCAACCTAGATGCCCCTCAACAAGAGAATGGATTAAGAAAATGTGGTTCATTTATACAATGAAGCACTACTCAGTGGAAAAGAAAAACAGTGAAATCTTGAAATTCACAGGCAAATAGATGGAACTAGAAGAAACCATGCTAAGTGAAGTAACACAGTCACAAAAAGGCAAATCTCATATGTACTCAATCATGTATGGGTATTAGACGCAGAGGAAAGGATAACCAGTCTACAATGCACACCTCCAGAGAAGCTAGGAATCAAGGAGGACCCTGGGACCCTAAGAGATACATACATGGTCCTTCAGAGAAGGGAAAAGTACAAGAGCTCCTGAGAAAATTGGGAGCCCAGGGTGGGGCAGAAGGAGGGATTAGAAAGAGAATCTGAGAACAGGAGGGGGAGGAGAACATGAGGGATAATGAAGTTTAAGTAGCGGGAATAATAGAGGAAATCAAGAACACATATTTCTTAATAGAGGGAGGCATTATAGGTTTAAAGAGAAATCTGGCACTAGAGAAATGTCCAGATATCTACAAGGATGACCCCAACTAAGCATCTATGTAATAGTGGAGAGGCTACTTTACATGTCCTTCCATACAATGAGATTGATGACTACCTTAAATGCCATCCTAGAGCCTTCATCCAGTAGTTGATGGAAGCAAAAGCAGAGACCCATAGCTAGTCCCTGAGCTGAACTACTGGAATTCAGATGTAGAGAGGGAGGAGTGATGAACAAACGGTCAAGACCATACTGGGGAAACCCACAGAAATAACTGACCTGACTTAGTGGAAGCTCATGGACCCCAGGCTGACAGCTGGGAACCAGCATAAGCTCAACCAGGGCCCCCTGATCATAGATGTCTGTTAGGAGGCCTGGGAAGTCTATGGGGTCTCTGTTAGTGGAATCAGTATTTATCCCTAGTGTACTAATGGACTTTGGAGACCATTCCCCATGGAGAGATAATCTCTCACCCTAGATACAATGGGGAGGGCCTAGGCCCTTCCCCAAATAATGTTTCAGATATTTATGATCCCTCTTGGAAGGCCTCACCCTTCCTGGGGAGTGGATGGGGGGGAAGGGGGAGTTGGTGGGGGCATGGGAGGATAGGAGGAAGAGGGAACTGGGATTGATATGTAAAATGAAATTGTTTCTAATTTAAATAAAAATTATATAAAAAATAAAAAAAAGGGAAAAAGTGGACACAAGTCAGGACCCATTCCTCTGTTACATCCAAGAAAAACATATTAGCACAGAGAATAGTCACTACCTCAGGGTAAAATGTAAAAAAGGTATTTGCAGCAGATGGGCCTAAGAAGCAAGCTGGTTTATTCATTTTAATATTTAACAAAATAGACTTCAAACCAAAATTAATCAAAAAAGATGGGGAAGGACACTACATATTCATCAAAGGAAAAATCTACCACGATAATATTTCAGTCCCTAACATCTGTGCTAACAGGGCATCCCTGTTAGTAAAAGAAACACTTTACAGATTACCTCATCCATTTATCTTCACATACTAATAGTTGGAGACTACAATACTCCACTCTCATCAATGGAAAGGTCATCCAGACAAAAACTAAACAGAGAAATGCTGGAGCTAAGTGACAAAAGCTGAGCATCAACAACAGCAGAAACAAAAGAAAGCTTACAAACTCATGGAAATTGAACAACTCTATATGGAACATTCATGAATACACAATACACCCAAACTTATGATACACACTGAAAGCAGTGCTAAGAGAAATGTCTGTAACACTAAGTGCCTACAAAAAATCTTAGAGAGATCTCATACTAGCAACCTAACAGCACATCTGAAAACTCTAGAACATAAAGAAGTAAGCACACCCAAGAGAAGTAAATGGCAAGAAATTATCAAGTTGAAGACTGAAATCAATAAAATAGAAATAAAGAGAATACAAATAATCGATGAAACAAAGAGTTGATTATTTAAAAAAAAAGAGCTAGACAAATCCTTATCTAAACTAACTAAAAGACACAGAGAGAATGTCCAAATTAATAAAAGGAGAAACAAAAAGGG